TGAGGGTGGCAGGAGCCAGCGAGATGGCTGCACTTAGGGTTAGTCAATATGGGAAGATGAGAGGAGGAAAAGCAGCCCATGCGCAAGGGGGAACCTGTGGCAAGGGAAGCAATGCCCCTCTGCCCATAGGAGCACAGCACAAGGTGGCACACCATGTGTGCCTGACCCTCTGAGGCTGGCAGGGATCCTGCTGTGGGTTAACCCCGTCACTGTAGAACACAAAAGAGCACAAGAGCACGCTGCTGTTCTCAGGGTGAAGAAAAGGGTAGTTTATTTTCTGACTTCAACATTTATAGTTTTCCAAAAGTGACAGTGGATTGGAGGGTGACAGTGCCACCTCTCCAATGACACTGGACAAACCAACAGTTTATCAACTTTCTCTTCCTCCATAAAAGAATGCAGAACAATGAGTTATTTAACTTATTTACAGAAAGTGTGTGAGAAAGTTTGCTACAAGAATGTCAACATCAGAAGGCTTAGAAAATCTTAAAAAATCAGGGCAACAAACCTCACCACTTCTGGTGCTTTTCTGCTGCAGGATCCTCCTGTAAGGGCTGGCCAAAGCCCTTCCCAATGTGCTGAGAGGATTGAGCATCCTACTATTGGAGTGTCTGATGTCCCAACCCTGAACTGTCCCCTGAAATCTTCCCATGGCTGAAAGGCACCAGGCACAGGGCATATCCAAGGAGGGACAGCACACCCAGCCTGTGTTCCCTGGACCCTCATTCCCATCTCTTTTCCCAGCCTCATCCTTGAGGTGCAGTACAGGGTGTGGGATTGCTTTGGCATCCCAGGGCAGGGGATGAGGGTGTGTGTGTCACAGGGGGCACAGCCCTACCCCAGACCCTGTCCTGCAGCACTGCTCCTCTGCCTGGGCCCTGATTGTTGCCACCCAGAAAAACTCCCGTTTCCTCTTCCTACCCATCAATAGAGCCTCAGCCAGCCTCGCTGGGTTTTCTTCTGTGGTGTCAGATGATGCTTTAGCATAAAGGATGGCTGCTGTCCCCTCCATGGAATGCCCCAGCACTCTGGGGGTGTGGAGCATGGCAGGGCTGTGCAGATAGCAAGGAGCTGGGAAAGCAGGATGCAGCCAGCATGCTGGTGCCTCATGAGGGGAACTGTGTCCAAACAAAGGCATGTCAGCTCCAGTTTGGTGTACAGAGCATATGCAGAAAGTGGCTCCATATGATCTGTGAGCCATCAGTTAATGGTGGATGTAAAACCCACATGAGGAACCCTGCATGTTGTCCATAGGCTACAGGCAGAGGCAGGACTGCACAGTGAGAGAGGGGTTTGTTTGCCTGCCGAGTGCAGGTTCCACTGCCTCTGCCTTGCCGTACAGAACTGCCCATGTCCCATCCCTTGTTCTCCAGAATTACTCAAATTATGAGGTTGAGTTCAGTCCCCTCCAAAATAAATGTGAGTCAACAGTGTGCCCTGGTAGCCAAGAAGGCCAACCTGGGCCTGGGGTGCAGCAGGGACAGCATCACCTGATGGGCAAGGGAGGATTGTCAGGCTTTGCTCCTGCTGGGGCAGCCTCACCTCGAGCCCTGGGGCCACAATAAAAGGATTTACAGCTGTTAGAAAGCATGCAAAGGAGGCTGCAAAGGTAGAGATGGGTCTACAGGAGGCCATATGAGGAAAGGGTGAGGTGACTTGGCTCATTCAGCCTGAAGGAGACAGGACAGAGCTCCCCAGTCTGCAGCTTCCCCCTGAGGGGAATCAGAGGAGCAGACACTGATCTCTTCTCTATGGTGACAAGGACAGAACCTGAGGGAAGGGCATACAGCTGTGTCAGGGCAGGTTTAGGTCGGACATTTAGAACAAGGTTTTTCACACAGAGGGTGGTGGGACACTCAACAGGCTCCCCAGGGATTGTCAGAGCCCCAAGGCTGCCAGGGCTCCAGGAGCATTTGGACATCACTCTCAGGCACATGGCGGGATTGTTGGGGGGTCTGTGCAGGGCCAGCTGTTGGATTCCATGGCCCTCTGAGTTCCCTTCCAACTTAGTTTTCCTTGAAACTGTTGCTATTAAGTGTTGGATGTTTCAGTAGCCAATTGCATTGCAAATCTTGCTAAATTTTAGACCTTGGCAGCTCTTTCTGGCCTGATCCTGATGATATGGAGTGAAACCGTTACATTTTTCCCATGCACTGTTGATTATGTGGAGAATGGATTTTTTTTGAGTCTACATTTACCATTTTACAGCCTACAATTGCATCCCTTTTTGTTTCTATTCATTATGCTTTCAAGAGCTCTGCTTTGATGCTTGGGGTATGGGAGATTTTTGAGCGTGGGGATCAGTGTGGTGTACAGCACTGAGACAGGCTACACCATTTTTGTGCAGAAGGGCATCACAATGTTTGCACCTCTTACTGTGCCCCACTCTCTCACACCTTGTTTCCTTTGCACCCAGCTAATTTCGTAGAATAAATTATCCTGAATTTCCTGTTAATACAGTCATGCTACGAAAAGATTTAAAAAATATAAGCTGCTAAAGGTGTTTATTATGTTATTATGTACAGACATTTTTTTCCCTTTAAATGGACCGACCCCCTCTCTTGCCTTCCTCAAGCAGTGAATTCCTGAGGTTAATTATATGCTGCGTAACAAAGGTGTTATTTCTTTTTGTGCCTTCGGTTGTGTTCCTTTTCATGGCTGGAGAAATGAGCTGGGAGAATAAAGGCTTTGCACAGAAGTGCATTAAAGTCAGTGGGCTTTGGCTCATGCCCAGAGAGAAAAGCAGCACATGGTTTAATTCCAGGGCAGGCTCAGGCAGTTGCATTTAAGGCTTTTTCAGTGGTGATGGTGCAGCTTTTAGGTTGGATTCTTCATGTTCAGCTACCAGAGAGGAAAAACAAATTCCCCCAGGAGCAGCAGAGAGTCGTAACACGCTGTCTCCCTCTCTCCAGATGAATGGCAGTGATGGGATGTTCAAGTATGAAGAGATTGTCTTGGAAAGGGTAAGTACTGCTCACCCACCCACCAGCAGCCTCCTCCCCCTCGCCCACCCCCGGCCCTGCTGCCCCCCACACATCCCTGCACAGCCCATGGGAGAGCCTGGTCCCTGCTGCCCCCTCTCTTTCAGGGCTGTTACACCTGCTGTGCCAGCCTGGCTCCCACCAGGCTGGGCTTGCTGCTCCCCTCTCCCCCTGCACACCCCTCCAGAAGGGAGGGAGGGAGGAAGGCTTCTCCCTTGCCTCCCTCTTTCACACCCTCACCCCCACAAATTGATCAGTGCAGAGCATGGGGGAGCTCTTTGTCATTGCCTTTGTCAGAAAACAGAGGTGTGGGGAGCTCTGCTTGGGTGCACCCCACAACTGGGCACAGGGACCAAAGCCACCCTGCCACCAGGCTCCCCGTCACTCTAGGGCACACAGCCTTGGGATGCTGTGCTCAAGAACAGGTTGTTTAGTAAAACAAGCCACAATGGAGGAAGCTCCTGCTCAAGCCTTTTCTTTGTTGGCAACACAGAGGTGATGGCATGTGCCGCACCAGCCACGGCTGGAATCAGCTCCCTCCATGTGTGGGGTTTATCCAGGGGCAAGCCAGCACCACACAGGGCACCAAGGGCTTTCTGTTGCCCAGGAAGCAGCAGGGGAGGAGGGACAGAGATGGAGTGATGGAGTGGGAAAAGCTTGCCCAGGGTTTACTCTGAGAGACAGGCACAGCCCTGCCGGCTGGGAGTGGCTGTGGTGGGAGGCTGCCCGCTTTCCCCACAGCACACCTTGCCTCTCCACAGCTCCCCTTCCCTCCCCACAGCTCCCTTTGCCTCCCCACAGCACACCTTCCCTCTCCACAGCACACCTTGGCTCCCCACAGCTCCACATGAGCTCACCTGGCCTCTCCACAGCCCCCCTTCCCTCTCCACAGCCCCCCTTCCCTCCCCACAGCACACCTTCTCTCCCCACATCCCCCTTGCCTCCCCACAGCACACCTGGCCTCTCCACAGCCCATCTTCCCTCCCCACAGCACACCTTGCTCCCCACATCACCCCTTCCCTCCCCATAGCCCGTCTTCCCTCTCCACAGCTCCC